CCTTTCCTTTCTTTCTGGTTTTGTTTTAATTTTAATTTTTTTTTTTTGATACAGGGTCTCCCAGTAGCCCCAGCTGGCCTGGAACTCCCTGGCAGAGATCCACCTGCCTCTGCTGGGATTAAAGGCTGGGCCACCACACCCGGCTTATAATTTTTTTTTAAACAGACTTAATTCACTTTTTTTTTTCCTCACATAAAAGCCCTATGTGGCAGCCACAGCTGGAGCCTGGGCCCTCTGCACTGAGACTCTGGTGTGGGTTTTCACAAGATAGTCAGTGAATTCCCACTTGGTAAAGAGGTCAGGGGTCAGGTAGCTATAGGTCTTGAAGATGGCATCAGTGGTGGCCTTGGCGAGTTGCCCAGGGTGGCCGTGCAGCCTGGCCTGATGTGTAGCAGTCATCAATACCAGACATCAGCAGCAATTTCTTGGGACCAAGAGTAGAGGATGCCAGTTCCTTGGGGGTCGGGTGAGGACTCTAGGGAGGAAGGGTTTATTTGGCTTATCTCTCCCCGGTCATAGTTCACCACTGAGGAGGGAATCCAAGGTAGGAACTCAGGGCAGGAACCTGGAGGCAGAAGCTGAAGCACAGGCCATGGAGGAACACTGCTTACTGACTTGCTCCCCTGGCCCCCTCTCAACCTGCTTTCTTATATAATGTAGGCTCACCTGCCCAGGGATGGCACCACCCATCATGGGCTGGGTCCTCCCACATCCCTCAGTAATCAAGAAAATGCCCCACAGACATGGCCATAGGACAGTCCAATGGATGCAGTTCCCCAGTTGGGGCTCCCTTTAACCAGGTGTGTCAAGTTGACAACCAAAGCTCTCCAGCACAGCGATTAACCCAGAAAGCCACAACTGGGCAAAGTGCAGAGAAAAAGAGACTGCAGAGTGCTTTTCCTTGACTAGGACACCTATTTCAAATCTCTGCCACCCAGGAGTCAGGGACCTTTGCAGAAGAGGGGGAAGAAAGATTGTAAGAGCCAGGAGAGGTGGATCTACAAGGAAACAGTTTTCCAGGCGGCTGGGGAGTTGCTTGTATGAACTTATAGCAGTGGTGACCCATGCAACTCAAACCAGACAAAAATCCAACATAAAAGCAGGAAAAGGATAAGAAGCCCTAACCTTAGCTGAGCAACTATTGTAACCAATAACTGCTGGGAGAGGGAGAGTTAGATTTCTTTATGGAAGTGACACTAGATAGGTTGACCAGGCTCTGATGGATGGAGCCACACAGAGGGACTTCTGAGGACACAAACTTCACTCAGTGGTCCTTAAAATAAATGACAAAATGCATGAAATCTAGTGTGTGTGTGGGGGGTGAAGCTAGAGGAGGGGCCGTAAATATGATCAAGATGTATGAAATTCACAAAAATTTGATTCAATTTTTCTATAAAATAAAAATAAATATAAATAAATATTTTGAAATAAGCTTACATGTTATGAATTTCAGAGGTTTT